ATTTTACAAAGGCTTTAATGACAGTGTTTTTCTGGCCCTTTGGTTTTCAAATTGTTTTAAAAGGAGGTAGAATCCTCCTTTCCTAGACTGAATATGATTTGCAGCCCTAATATATAAAACAAAAGATAAATTGGACTTGAATGTGTGGAACACTGCCTACTTAGCATTCTTGAGGCATTTTGTCTCTTTTTAAGAAACAATTTTAAAATCAAGTTTCTAACTCATTTCAAGGGAATATGCTTGATATTAAGAATAACTTGTGGAAAAAGAAATCATGAGTATTTTAAATTATAGAATAATAATAGTGGCTATCATTTCCTAGTTATTAATAAATGCCTGAAACTGATAAAATTATCTTACATTTATTATCTCATTGAATTCTCTCAGCAGCATATGAGGCAGGTACTGTTTTCTTCACTGGACAGATGAAGAAAATGAGGTTCTGTGCAAAATAAAGTAACATGTTCAGGTCATTCTACTAGTGCACTTTCAAATTCAAGCTATAGAATCTCTGCTGATGATAATACCATATCACTTTATTTGTATTTATTTTACATCAGTTTTCTCCTTTGATCTTCATTAAATTGTTTTGTGAGTTGCATTATTTTTGTGTTTTTGTAAGGGGTGTAAAGTCTGTGTCTAGATTCATTTTTTCATTTGGATGTTCATTTGTTGAAAGACTATCTTTACTTCTTACTCCTTTGTCAAATATCAGTTGACTATACTTATGTGGGTCTATTTCTGGGAGTTCTGTTCCATTGATCTGTTTGTTTATTCTTTCATCAATACCACCTTGCCTTGATTACTGCAGCTTTATGCTAAGTCTATAAGTCAGTGTCTGTCCTCTGATTTCATTCTTCTCTTTCAATATTGTATTGGCTATTCTGTGTCTTCATTTAATTTTGAAATGTGATTTAACAGTATTTTAAATCAGAATTTTTAATTGTGGTGGCATTTCTTCTATTACAAGAGAATCTTTTCTAATCTATAAGTTTCATTATAAATGAATATGTACTGTTAAATATTTTTTTCTCTTTTTAAATAATGAAAATTAAAATGTAAATAAATGCACTGAATAAAGGTGTTATATTTTAAAATTTTAATCAGCATGTTCTATGCAATGTTGTCCTTTTACATTTTGTGTTCCTGTAGGTCAGGTCCTACCAAAATGATTGGATTATAAGAAAACACTGTTGGTTTAGTTCTTAGTATAGTGTCATGTGCATGGGAACTCTGGTATATATTATTTGATTGTGATGAAGTGCCTTGTCTTCAGTGATTTAACATAGTAAGATGAGGATAATGGGAAATATTAAATGCATCAGAGCTATGGCCCGCTCGTTGAAATTTGCCTCTAGTGTTGCTAGTAGTACAAATTCCCAGCTAGTGCCTTCAGATTTTAAGCACTGAGCTAGTAAAGAAATGGGTCTTTTACATTAGTACGATCATCTCAAGTTAAGAGTTCTTTTGCAACATTATTTCAGAACAAAGTTCTATCATTTTTATTTCTTTAAATTACCTATATTATATGTTTAACTTTGTAAAAGTTGCTCAAAACATAAATCTTTATCTGTATTGGTCTTTTCAAAAGGCTTTCCCTAAGTGTTTTATATGCAAGTTGATCTGCCAAGTACTGTTTGGCCTGTAAGATCAGTTAGCTTGCTAAGTGGCAGCTTCTGCGGAATGACTTTGTATTCGGTCCAGCACTGAAAATTGCAGCGTAGATACTTAGAAAGCAAGATTGTTGTACATTTTGATTTTGGTCAGTATACCTATTTCAACAAGATTGGCAATCCTTGATTTGTTGCGTTACACAAGAACTGCTACTTCATAGTAGTCATTGATTATTGAGACTCACGTAGAGGTTTGTTTTCAGGGCCTTAGAACCCCTCACAGGATTATTTTTCCCTTTTTTATCTCCTTGAAGAGATAACCTTCACTAAGCTGTAGTGTTATATCGTCTGATTTTATTAGAAGGTCAACAAAGAACTTCCCAGTAGAATAGTTTCTAAGTTGTGTTTTATTTCACTCATAATTGAGGTTGAAGATAATGTTATACCAGTTACTGGCTGTCTTTATATAAAGTTCCAAATCATAATTTTAAATAAATGAATTTGTATGCCTCTATCTGTCAAAAAATGAAAGATGTAATTCAACAACCTTTTCACCTTGTCTAAAAAACTGATAGCCAAATTAACTCTTCAGTTATATTATTCTGCCCATTTCTGATGACTAAGAAGTCTAGCTACATGTGCTTTATTCTAAGAGATTCTTTTCTGTTTATTTTGTTTTACATATAAGTATAGTAAATTATTTGTGTATACTATATGTGTGTGTGTGTATATTTGTGTGGAGAGAGGGAGAAATTTGCTTCTGGAATTCAGTTATGGTTATAACTT